TGGACCCAACCCTTTGAAAGCCGGCTGGGTACATATTTTAGATGCGGTTGTGATCTGCTCAGTACTAGCTGAATCTTCACATTATAATCATCACTTTCGCACTCAGGTTGGTAAACCATAAAAAGTAGTGGTCCACGGATTCTAGACACGGAAGCCAGTTGAGCGAAAGCTTCTTCCGTTCCTTTAATAATTATCTGAACCATTTGAAGTGTACATATATCTCGAATGAGTCGAATATGATAGGAACTTCGCACTTCCCAATGTGTCTTGCGTAACATAACATTATACCGTTCCCTCTCGTGCGTCCTCTTTTCAGCATCGGTTTGACGAAACAATCTTAAGCCCGATCATAACCAAAAATATCACATGTATTCTCAGATAAGTTCACACCAAAGGTTCATAATCTTAAGGAACACTAAGACTGAGAGCCAACTATCTTGTCATTTTTTACCCCGGTATCGAAAAGTAATAATAATAATGATTCGTGAATATACAGGCACACACCATTTTTGCGGGTATGAATGCGTCTTGTATAAACTACATGCATCTTCATGGAACGTAATCTCAACCCACACCTATCGTCACTAGAAGATACAAGCGCTGCATGGTCATATAATGGAGCATCCCAGCAGAATAAGTGTGCAAAAAATTTACAAGTTGGACAAGTATTGTCTCTGCGCTAACAAAGAACCAGGTTTATATCTATACACTACAGGTATTACTTGGAGAAAAATAAAGCTTGAAGCTAATACTTCCATTGTAATAGTTTGTACTTTTTGCTTGAGATAATGGTGAAAAGTGTATGAAGGAATGCATGCATGAAGTGTTTACATATTGTACTTCATTGATGATTCTAGGACTGTATAATTCATCCACGTTAACACCATTCCACAACAAGGATTCATGATCTTCATGAATATTATGACTGAAAGCCAAATGTCCTCACTTCTCCAACCCCAGCATCCAGAAGCAATAGGCTTGTTTGAATGCACCAAATGGGCCTCCAGAACATCTTGTCCTTCGTTTTACGGGTCATGACAGCCTTGCGGTTAGTAGGTGCCGGACCTTGCCGGTCACTTATATAATGAGTTAATCCTAGATTTTGATGATTATGAAGTTGTAGTCCAGTGGACACTTTTTATTTCTGCTTCTTGTGGTTAGGCATTTTGAACGTGGCAAAACTGGCTACCCTCCACGAAGGGTAGTTTCAGCCATGGTCTGTCCCTTAAGTAATTAATTCTCGATGGCAACAAAGCCAACGTTTAGAACTGAATTATTTTTCTACAACGAGAAAAAAACGGACAAAGTAGCGGGCGGGGAAAGCAGGCGTTCCAGCAAGGACAGTGTTTTCTATGTTCACGTTTCTCCCTACTTAACTTTCTTCGCTATGGCGTTCATTGTATGAGCTATTTCTATGGAGTACTTAAAAACATGAATTTCCTGCTGTCATATGGTGTAGGATTTCTGTTTTTGATTACCGTGCTGTGTGGGGCAGAATGTGACTGCTCTGTGTAATAAGCCACGCCCGATTAAACTGAAGCATTGTCTGATCGCGGGCTGCTTCCTAGTAAGCTAGCTCAGTGCGGGCGATCAACGTTTTTCCTCACACCATACCATGTTGACGTTCGATTATACCTAGTTTGATACTGGCTCTTCTCATTGGCAAATGACGGGGTTGGGTTGTTGCGGCGTCTACTCGTGTTCTCGTTTCTAGTGCAGTTTAGCTTAGTATATTGAACCATATTGGTGGAGCTGCCCTTCGTAAATAACTTGGCATACGTACTTTGTCAATTCTACCGTACTGAGGACGAAGTGGGCTATTTGTGTGTTTCCGGAGCCAGTGCAACTATGTGAACCTATTCATAAGTGGAATTTCGCATCCAGATTCATTTACTCCCGCAGTTATAGAGAATTGGAGGAGGCCTCCGTCCACATTCTCTTGGTAAAACTTGATCTACAGAGTGGGGTGTACAAGGAAGGAACGGTGCGAGAGACAGGAGCAAGATCCAGTCGGCATCGCCCATGTTCAACTTGCTGCTGTTAGTTCGTATTTTGACTGACTCGTAAGGGGGAAAACATGGCGTCAAAGTTAGGACAGTGGGACATTTTTGAAACATTTTGATGCCGTAAAAAACACACCTAGAACCGTGCTCAGGGACGTTAGATACACATGAAATAAGAAGTAGGTGCACTACAATATATCGTTTGATGGAGCTTTAAGAAATGACTTTGATCGCGATCTACCTTTCCTTTTCCTCACCGACGCAGAGGACATGACAGAAACATACAAAAGTAGGCGCAAATTATTATCTTCTCGGGGTAATGGTATCTTCATTCACCAGTAAGATTTAAACGACCAATAATTCCGCAAAATCAATGGCCTATGGTTTGACAGTACCCGGCATTGATGCGGACCTCCTTGGTTATGACGGACTTGCAAAGACGAAGGCAGATGGTCGAACATTCGTAAAATATAGCACGCTGACGTGTTATGTCGCTGTGCCCGTGCGAAATCCTGCAGCCAGCTAGTTGAGACGCGCATGCATTTTGGCATGGTCTTTTAAATATACTCGCATTCTTGGATATATTACAAATACAAATAATTGGTGACTGGTTTCCGTGTCTGTCAAGTTCGCGTAGGATTAATTGCAAGGGACTTGCAGAAGAAATGGCCTCCTCCATCCACCGACCCTTTCGAGAGAAGAAGCAGCAAGCTCAGAGACCCATCGGCAAAGTATTGATACGGGCTAACTTCCCTTCGTTCCCAGTTTACGCATTTGAGTCTGAATCGCCGGATTCGCTTATCACAGCTAAATCAGGTGTATCACTGGACACTGGAATTTAAGCTGGATAAATGCCAGGTCACGTTTCTCGCACTCCTGATCCACGGCGAGCATCCTTCTCTCTCTGTGGTTCACATCCTTCTCATGCTGCAACAGAGAAAGACCTAGGTTTAGTGATGACAGGGAACCTAGACACCAGCTCCAAGTACCCGAGGGATGCCTCGAAAACACGCCATACTACACTTTGTGCGTAGACAACTAAGAACCCCCGCCCTAGAGCTCTTTTCAAGGCTCTACAATACCTACGCACGGCCTCACTGGAAGGTACATGAGATTTTCACTCCACTACACCTGAAAGAGACACGAACCTCCTGCAGAAAGATCGAAGGTGGGCCACAATGGATGCTGTATAGAGGCACCAAAAAGCATGAGAGGATAGACTAAAGGACCAAGACCTATACTTCTTGGCTACCGATGGTTGTGAGGCGATTTGGTAACGGCTTACAGAATACTAAGTGACCCATGCCACCCTAGTGGAAGAATGCCACTGAATGGCCACCATGGTGATCTTCATGCAAGCCGTAAGAGAGTTGCCCATGGAGGGTCACAAACTCGTGTGGTTTCACACTACTCTCTTCAAGTCTGTGGGCTTTGGTATGCATTACCAGCAGAGATAGTCTCCGTACAACCGTCGATGGTTTCAGGAAAAGGCTAAAGAGTTACGCAGTGATCCACGGTTTACGCTCATCCAGTTGGAATACAAACTAGACCGAAGAAATGAACTGCTGGCACACCGTTCCAACACTGTTACCTCCACAACAATTCTCCTTCTACTTTAAGTTCTTTTCATCCCCCTCATAAACCACGAATTAGACTAGGTTACCTAAGTTCTGCATATCCTTGCACCCCTATTGTCTGAGTTGGGTGTACCTAGATTACTCCATCGTTTCACTTTTCGTTGTCTTTTAATCACACACATTTGTCGCCCTAGGTTGTCTCTTCACTTCCCCTAACTCCCCCTTGCGACCGGTGCAGACGAATATCTGGCAACTTGACGTTAGTAGAACCCAGTCGTACCACATTCCCTAACAAACTAACCAATACCCAACCACCTGTTGGGTATACCAGAGTTACAGCAGACAATTAGCTAGATCTGCTGCATCGAAATCAGCTAAAGACCTGGAACCATTCCGCAAGGCTTATAAGGAAGAAAGAAGAAACTGACCGGTTTCTACAAGCCCTTTAAGCAGATATTGAATATTGGATGCATGCAGTAGTTTGACCGTGGTGAATAAATGTACACTTAAGAGTCGGTGACCTTGGCTGTGCTGTGATTTCCCACTATTTTTATGTGTTTCTGTTTTGACTGAGGCATTTCGATGGAACTATATGACGTATGATCATATTACGTGATTATAAGAACAGCTCTTGTATTCATCAACCCTAGTTTTAATCAGAAACGCCACCTTAGGGGTCACCGTTGAAATTAGAGTATGAAAGAGCACGCACAAAGATCCATGCTAACTCGTCTGCAGTTAGCGTTTGTAAAATTTAGAACTCCCTTTCTTTAGAAGTTGTTACAGCCCTATCGCCTGGTACTTTCAAAGGAGGTTAGATGCTCATCTGTCGATGGGTATACTCATGGGCATTTACAGACCAAAAAGAGGAAAATAAAGTTTATATAGGGGAAATAAATGAAACAGAGTCAAAATCGTTGGGAAATGCAACTAATTTCCCCCTTTAATGCCTTTCCTCCTCGACTATCTCCCTCCTGAAATCGCTTTACCTCCACCTATTCAGACTTTTTCGTACGGCTTCTCAATCGCTGTCTGATTTTCCCCTTCTATTCCTTTTTATTTTCCATCTGTTATTCATTTCCTCACTATCACCGGACTAGGGGTAGATGCTGACTGCAATCAGCATTTACGTGTGATAAAACAAGGGGGCATGCTGCTGATTGTAATAAAACTCGAAACAAAACGCACAATTTTACATTTCCCCGAGTTTTGCCTTAGTTGTTTTTCCCGTACGTTCTGCTCCCTGTTTCTTCTTGTAGTGTCCCTATTTTCCCCCCCTGTTCCGCGCAAAAATATTGACTGGGTGGAGTCTTGTGGTACAATGGGCTGTACGCGAAAAGCTTTTCTTCATCCACAGATCAGGAGGAGTAATACTATTTTGAGACGGATTAATTAATAATGGGTCATCTTTGTCCTTTCAGGCTTTTCGGGGCCAGGAAGACAATTGTGAACATTCCAATAAGACAGACGTAGAACTCAAGGAACCATCTTTCATTTATTCTACAACAAGAGGTTTGGATAAGAGCCATCCCTTCCCCATATTATTACTCAGGTAATAGTGTTTTTCCATAAATACTTTTCTCGAAGTCTATAAAGATATCAGCAGTTGGTAGTTAAAGGCCTTCAGGGAAATATTGTGAAGTTAATCTCATTGAAATGTACATTAGTTCTTCACTCTTCCTTAAATACTGTTTTGTATTTTATGCACTGTTATTTTTATCATACATTACTTCAATTTCTGTTCTATGCTAATGTGGACTGTAGCGTTAAAACAATGCATCATTACTGAGAGACCCACGTTATAAAATCTTTCTTCTAATTGAATGTTTGGAGTAGTCAATCAAATTTCGACTTAACTTGACCTAAATATGCCATTGATTTGTTACCCTTTGTTTGGTTTTGATGATGAGTTATAGAATCAATAAACTTGTTTACTTCTGTTCTGTTATGCAGAAAATCACTTTAGCCTTAAAGTACCAGCTATATGTTACACACTGTTTTACAAAATGTTGCTGCAGTAGGTCAACTGAAAACTGGACACTCATGAATGGGGTTTTGTGAACAGGAGATTGTTAACCTCGTGACATACTACATTGGCGTTACAGCTGCAGTTTATGCTGTACTTCTCTACCATTTAGACTCCATTATATACTTCATGATAGTACTATGGGTTCAACTCAACTTCATTTACAGAAAGGTGTACTGACAAGCATTATTATCATAACGTTTAAATAATTTGGTTGGATCATGGCCCAAAGGGAAAACTTAAACGGTCGGTTGGTCTATATTTTTAAGGTTTATATCAAGACTGACAAAGATTGTATTGATTACGATGCATCTTAAGCATTATCGATTAACAGCTGCATTACATGATAAAAGAATCCACCTTAAATGTACACAAAAGGTAGAAACTTTCAAATACATGAAATCACCAGAATGATTTCAGTGCTTGTTTCTGCAGTGTTATTTTATATTGAATCAGCTTAATGGCTAACAAGAATGCACGAATAATTTTTGTCTTTAGCTACAATGAGCTTTCGATTTAGTGATGGCAACTGCGAATGAAATCTGTGCAAAAAACGACAGTGAATTATATGAAAGGAAAGGGAATAGGTAAGTAAAGGTTGGAGAAAACGTTTGAAATTTCAAAAGTGAAAAGTAGAGTGTACATACATGTATGAACCTACCCCTGATTCAGCAGTAGAAAGTGAAGTGGTTGGATTAGGTAGACCATCTTACTTCGGAAGTTTTATCATTTCGAACCAGCTGGTTGCTGACGAAAGCTGAGCTTGGATACATTAAAATCTTTCTGTATTTGCTAAAATACAACATCTCTGGTGCCGGCAAGATATCTGAAGTCCCTTTTGTCCTGTTATATGGTTGCAAGAAATAACCGTTGGAAGTAGAAGTTATGAAATGGTTACACGTCTTTGACCATAGGTGTCTTCATGGCCTCAACCCTGTATGGTAGAATCCCCGCGTGAGCAATGTCAGGGTGTGATACTCGGAGGAGTTGGATTAAGTTGGAAGAGGGTTCAGGGTAGCCAGACTAGGACATTGCACTTGTGCATGAAGTCCCTGACTATTGGTTTTAGCCATGTGGGGCGATATAGGCTACCTGATCAGGGTCCTATAGACCATAAGAATCAGTGGCTGGGGGACTCCTAATTCTTAAATTCACTCTCCTCCTCTACTTCTTGTCTACTTTGATGACAATCTTTTTCTTTCCATTTGTTGTTTGCATGCTACTGTGAAGTGTAGCAGCTTCATGTCATGTACTTCTGCACGAGGTTTTACGCTGATTTATCTTTCTGTCATTATGACCAGTGAAGAGTGTCCTACCATCCATTTATGTCGTCCCAAAGACCCGGACCACGTAGTTTATATTTACGTGTGCATCTCAGACAAATGGGTAATTCATGGAATGGTTTCACGTTTTGACTCAGCTACCGTCCACTTTACGTAAATCTTATTCCACTTTAGCCAACATGGCTCGTCATTGTCAAGAAATGTGGCAAGCATCTGGCACTGCTAAATATATTTGCCTTTCAAAACCTAATGAAGGTTGAAGATGCAGCATCTCCAGGATATGAAGGCCGTCTAATTTTCTTGAGTTTGTTTTTTATAAGGCTTCAGCTAAATGTGAGATGACTACGGGTCCTAGGAGCTCAGACACAATGTTGGTCGTACTAATTTCTCCTGGGTAATCACACAAAGAGTTTTCTTCTTTCACTGAAATGGTAAACGATCTAGACAGGTTTCCTCGCATTGGCTAGTATCTCATTTAGTGTAATCATTAATTTCTTACCTTTATCCCTAAAAACATCTTTATCGCTGGGGGTTTCGAAGAGAATTTTCAACTTCGATCACTGCCTTCTCTTTAGTTCCGTATGGGGTACTTGCTCCATGTTTTCTGACTTCCCCAAATATCCCTACTTGTCCTAATTATGAGGACTCTTCGTCCCAGTTCATGATTCTAAATACCTCAGGAAGATATTTTCCAAGACCTTCATTTGTTGTAGGGAGTATAGTGTCATCCTTCATTTTTAAGGGGCATATTTTGGAGGTATCTGCCGATTAAAAGGAGGGCTACCTTGTCTAACTCCCAAAGAGGGGAGACCTAAGTCTTTACAAGAACTGGCGCGGAATCATGCTCCACTCCTGTCCACCCCAAGCAAAGTATTAAGCCGCATCATTCTGAAAGGACTAAAATATGCTCTAGACTCAAAATTGCGGCTGGAACAGGCTGGATTCAGGTAAGACGAATCATGTATGTATCAAATTCCAATGCTACGCTACGCATCATCATAGAACAGAGTATAGAATGCCAGTCAAATCTCCACCTCAACTTCATCGACTTTGAAAAGGCCTTCGACGGCGTCGACCGAGAAGTAACTTGGCAGCTGCTTCAACACCACAGTTTTAGTGCCACAAACATTTATCAACCTCATATAATGCTACAAGTCAAGTGATTCACAATCGGAAGCTCAGTAATGCCTTTGAAGTGAAGACAGGAGTAGCACAAGGTTGCATACTATTATCACCTATGATCTTCCTGATTGTGGTCGACTAGACTGGACTTGATCATGCAACAGAGAACTGAGAAGAGCAAGATGATGGGCATACGCTGCTTGACCGATGAAAAGGCTCTAGAAGGAGATCTGGATTTAGCCACCGATGATGATTTATGTCTAATGTCGCAGAAGCTCGAAGACCTACAGGCGAAAACTAACAAGTTGGCAAAAGAGGCGAGGCGAGGCAGCAAAGATGGGACGTCCCTCAGGTGGACGTAGAGAAGATAGAGGTGGTGAAAATACCCAACTACCACCACTACCGCCACCACCAACTAACAACAACGAGTACCAATCACCATCAACAGGATAAATCTAAAGGAAGCTGTCTCTTTCACCGACGCACCTACCTACCTAGGTAGCACTGTTTCAACCACAGGCGGCAGCACAGATAAGCGTATCAAAGACAGGATCGGAAAGACTGCAGGACAGGCCTTCCTGAATCAATCTGAAACCAGTGTGGAGATCTGCTTCACTGCACTCAGCATAAAGTGTGAATAACATCCAGATTTTCAACACTCATGTCAGTCAAGTAAGTCAGTGGTTCTATGCGATAGTTGAGAGACTTGACGGTGCGTTTCAAATAGCATTTCCAACAAACTGCAGATATTCGTTAACAGCTGTTGCCTACACTGGCTCGTTACAGAAGATCAGATGGATGGCCAGAACTACAAGAATAAGGAACAAGGAGCTCTCACTGACAACCAATCAAGCAACGAAGAAGCTGTCACCCAACAAATGTTGAGATGTATTGGTCATACACTGAGAAAACCATTCAGGGATATCAGGCTTCAGGCCCTGAAGTGGAATCTAAAGAGGACATGACGAGTTAGCGAGAGTGACATGGAGGAGATCATGTGAGGATGAAATGAAAGCTTGTGGGTAGTCGTGGTGGCAGGTTCAAAAGACTGGAGATAAGAGAGTGGAATGGCGACGTGCTACTGAGTCCTCATGTTCCACTAAGAACCCAAAAAACAAATGATAGTAATAATAATAAGCGATATTTTGAAATACTTCAAATAACATTGCAAATAATATTAAGTTATTGGAATGTAGGTTAGAGGCTAAATAGCAACATGGTCAGTGTGTGATTTTTAAGGCTTTAAACTCAATTTTGTGTATTTTTAAAGATCTACAATGTTGGGGGAATCCTAAACTAGAAAATGATTGGTCAGTGACATTTTATTCTTAGTGAAGCTAAGAATGTTGCCCGTCAATGGTGAAGATATTAGTTGATTGCCTACAAATCACTTAGTTGAATGGTAATCATTTGTGTTAAGTCTACAAATAGATGAAATATTCCACTGGTATAATAAATACTACTTCACACAGTAATTATCGATAATCAGAAGTCTTTATTTTTGAACCTGAAAACCTTTCTTCTTTATTAATGATGGGCAGTGGCTAGCAGTGGTATCCAGGGCACGCATTTCGTCCTGTTTGGGACTCGTCAGTTGGATGTACCTGCCTCTCAGTGAGTGATATTGTTCCCACAGGGACTTTATCTTCTCATTGCATTTTATTCCCTTAATACAATCTATTTTCTTTTTTTTAGTTTATTCTCTTCTACATCAATTAATAACTTAAGCAAGTGAGCAATGTTCACCACAATGGATGTTTATGATGCAGCTTTATCCATTGGTCGTGAATGTCAATTAATTGTTGATCAATATAATGATGATTTATTAGAAAATTTGATGCCAAAAATTATTTATATTTTAGAAGAGTTAGAAGCTTGTACTATTTATTGTGACAATGAAAAGAAAGAAATTGTACATCTTCAAGAGTTGGCTGATGAACTACGTGAAGATCAGAAATCAGATTTACTATTAAAAGATAAATATGATCAAGTTTGTTTATTTTGAATATGTTTACATCTTTATAACTAATATCATAGTCTGTGATGAATGCTACCTTAAGAATAAAAATCCTTATTAACATCAAAATATATTAGTGATATGAACATCCAAATATTCTAATGAGAAGGTATGACGTGTGAGGTCAACTAGATGGATGTGAAACAGATGCCAACTGAAGACTTTTGGTGAACTATTCAATTTGAACTCGGGGGTTAAATGATTATCGCTCTTCCTGATAGACCTTATAGCTCTGAGTTTGATCTTCAGCTGAGTTGTGGATGTGTACTACTGAAAGAGACGTTATAATTCATTGGTTTTCGAGCTTTATTTCCTATCAACGAGTCATGAGTTCGAACCCAGGTCTATGCATTGACTAGTCACGGGAGAGCAACTAATATCATGCAAAAGTCAGGTATAGAGTTTTAGGGAGCAGAGATAAATCACTAGACGAGGTTATGAACCTTCATCGATTGATATGGTTAGGACACGTACTACGTATGCCTAGTCACCAATTGCCTCATCACACAATGTTGGCCGAAATAGGTCCAGGCTAGAAAAAGGCTCAAGGTCGCCAGACTAAAACATGGCATCAATGTATGAAGTCTTTGACTGTTAGTTTGAGTCATGTGGGGTGATGCAGACTAGATGGTTGGGGTGTGCGGGACAAGAGGAACCAGTGGTTGGAGACTGGCTCTAGGTGATCACATGGCTCAGAACCGATGTCAGTAGCGAATATGTATACATACATTATCCTCATTTTAACAACGCTATACTCACTCTCACCATTTTCTCATTCTTCCTTTCTTTCTTCTCATACTTTATATTTCTTTTGACTGCATTCTCTTATCTTCATCTTGTACCCCTACTACCTTTGTACTTGGTGTAGTGATATGAGATGTGGCAACTTGCACCGTTACGCAGTAATGCCTAGTCCTATGTTGATATTCATGATGATAAAGAACCAATTTCATGTTGTTCAGTCCTGAGTGTTGACTGAATCCTATCAATCATATTTGTAATGTGGCAACCAAGCTAGGAGGCTCAACATTATGGTGCACATTGATGACCCAGATGACATCAGTTCCATTGAGGTTGCAGATACGTCTTGTTAATGAATACCAACAAGGTGTAGAGCTTTCTCCCGATCATCTTCAACTAAGTAACACTGAACTCAGATCCACCTACCGGCGTTTAAGCAGCCTAATATTCCGCAGACAGTAGCTATAGTTCACTGCCCACTAAACAAACGTATAGATATTTCTTCCTAGTATGAAACTCCTCAGCAGTACACACACACTACCCGGCTGGGGGTCGAACTCAGGACCTTCAGGTTTCAGGTTAGGGTTAGGGTGACCTTCCTTAGCAATTCAGTTACATTTCGATTGAGATGAAAAGTCTTGACTCGATAACCAGTATGATAGTAACGTGTCACGAATTCATACTGTATTCGGATAAGACCCTAAGGGATTTGAAGTGAAATGAAAGTCGGATCATCAGCTGGGCATCGTAGCTCAGTTGATAGAGCATCGGGTTGGAAATCCGGTGGTCACTGGTACCAATCCCACCACGGTCAATAAGGCTATCCCAAATGATGAAAAACAAAAAATACTTTTTCACACCAATACTTCATCAGTTTTGAGAATACTGACTGAATCGATAACAAGTGATTCGACAAAATGTTATATAAAGGGATGAATGTCTACACCAATCAAGATCACTGGTTTCTGGGGTATCAGAGAATACTCAGTACATGTTAAGGTGATATGTGACAGAAATATTTATTCAAATTAAGAATTTAGCAGAATATTCAGATATATTTTCTTTTAAATGTGAGTAACTAGTACGTTTTCTCACAACAGTAATGTATTTTTGAGATGAATGGGGATTTTAATTTAGGCGTAGTATTCATCATGAACTGACATCAGTTAGGGAACCATTGAAAATCTGGGAGCACTGGACAGCTGTTTCGTCCAAGTATGGGACTCCTCAGCAGTACACACCCACTACCCGGCAAGGGGTCGTCCCCGGAACCTTCAGGTTTCACGGCGAACTCCTTAACCATTCAGCCACTGGGTCGGAGTTCAGTGGTTCACAATTTCCAGCTTCTGTCAATTCAAAGCATAACGCGGCTGTCACCCAAGGTCTTCAGTTAGCAACCACTTCACTTCCGACTGGTTGACCTCACAGGTCACGGCTTCTCATTAGAACTTCCTGACATCCATTTGGAAGCAAGTCACTAATGAGCACTATAGAGTAATGTATTTTTGAGATGAATGGGACGAATAGGGATGAATAGGAGGAAACAGCTGTCCAGTGCTCTCAGATTTTCAATGGTTCCCTAACTGATGTCAGTCCATGATGAATACTACTTGTAAATTAAAAATCCCCATTCATCTCATAAATACATTACTCTATAGTGCTCATTAGTGACTTGCTTCCAAATGGGTGTCAGGAAGTTCTAATGAGAAGCCGTGACCTGTGAGGTCAACCAGTCGGAAGTGAAGTGGATGCTAACTGAAGACCTTGGGTGATAGTCACTCTATGTCGTGAATTGATAGAAGTTGGAAATTGTGAACCACTGGAAACCGACCCAATGGCTGAATGGTTAACGCGTTCGCCGTGAAACCTGAAGGTCCTGATTACGACCCCTAGCTGGGTCGTAGGTGCATACTGCTAAGGAGTTCCATACTAGAACGAAACAGCTGTTCAGTGCTCTCAGATTTTCAATGGTTCCCTAACTGATGTCAGTTCATGATGAATACTACTTGTAAATTAAAAATCTCCATTCATCTAAAAAATACATTAAACGTATAGATAGATAAAATATATGAATGTATATGTTATTGGAGTTTTGTTTTAAAGTGTAGATCGTTTCTTTTCAGAGTTTAGAACAACTTGAAAGAAGTTGGTATTGTGAAAGTGAAAAATTATTAAAAGAAATTAATGAATTAGAACAAGAAAATATTCGTTTAACACATCATTTAATATCATCTTGTAATAAAGAAGTTAAAGAGAAAGAAGAACAAGATAATGAAAATTATTCAAACATTTTAAATAAATATATAAAATATAATAATGATTCTGGTGAATACAGTAAATCTTATTCAAAAGTTGACACATTTTTATTAACTAAGACAAAATTGAATCTTGAAAATATTTCATCTAATCATGAAGTTGATAAAACACTTGATAAATTGAAAAATAAATCAACTGAAGAAGAATTATCTAATATAATGTCTAGTTTATTATTAGAAACTGAAGAGAGAATACAATTAACAGAACAAGAAAGTAAGTTTTTTTTATTACCTTTATAATACTACTACTACTATAATACTACTTAATAATACTATGTCATAAGTTAACTAATCAACTAGTCTAAAAAAGAAATGTCAATCTAAGTGATTTACTTTTTATAATTATCTATTCATTGGTGGCTAGTAATAGGAACAAGGATAGGTATTTCGTCCTTTTTCGAACTCATCAGCCGGGTTCACTTGAATCCAGGGTCACTTGACGGCCATTATTATTATTATTTTCTTTCGCTTGGAACATAGGGATTCAGTAACACGTCTCCATTCCACTCTCTGTTCTTTGCAACCGATTAACTCATCGGTTCCCTTTTAGATTCCATTTCAGGGCCTGAAGTCTGATGTCTCTGAATGGTTTTCTCAGTGTATGACCAATACAACTCAACATTTGTTGGGTGACAGCTTCTTCGTTGCTTGGTTGGTTGCCAGTGAGAGTTCCTTGTTCCTTATTCTTATAATTCTCGCCATCCATCTGATCTTCAGTAAGGAGCCAGTGTAGGCAACAGCTGTTAACGGATGTCTGCAGTTTGTTGGAAATGCTATTTGAAACGCACCGTCAAGTCTCTCAACTATCGCATAGAACCACTGACTTACTTGACTGACATGAGTGTTGAAAATCTGGATGGTGTTCACACTTTATACTGAGTGCAGTGAAGCAGATCTCCACACTGGTTTCAGACTGATTCAGGAAGACCTGTCTTGCTACCTTTCTGATCCTGGCTGGCTTTGATATCCTCCTCTGTGCCTGTGCCGCATGTAGTTGATAGGTGAAAGGGGCTACTTCCTTTAAGTTTCTCCCATTGATGGTGGTTGGAGCTTGTTGGTGCTGTTGGTGGCGTTGATTGGGAATCTTCATCACCTCTATCTTCTCTACGTTCACCTGAAGGATGTCCTGTCTTCGCTGCCTCGCCTCGCCTCTATTGTCAACTTGTTAGTTTTTGCCTGTAGACCTTCAAGTTTGTGCTGCTTTAGAAACAAGTCATCGGCGAAATTTAAATCTTCTAGGATCTTTTCTCCCGTTCAGCGTATGCTCCTCTTCCACTCTTCACAGTTGTCTGTTGCATGATCCAGTCGACCGTAATGAGGAAGATCGTCGGAGATAGTAGACAAAATTGTTTTACTTCTTTATGCCTTCACTTCAGATGCATCACTGAGCTTCAAATTGTGAATTACTTGGCATATGGCGTCTTCATTTAGTTGTTGAATGAGATTGATAAGGATTTGTGGTATTCCGTAGTGTTGAAGCAGCTGCCTGCCAAATTACTTCTCGGTCGACGCTGTCGAAGACCTTTTCAAAGTCGATGAAGTTGAGGTGGAGATTTGACTGCCATCCTATGCTCTATTCTATGATGATGCGTTCGATCCCGTTAAAGTTTATGAAATTCCCTCACTAAATATGTGTCAAACATAATCTAATCAGATTCATAGTTTACATATTATATTCGTGATATTTATTCATTGGGTTCCTATTGGAACATGCGACTTCAGTAGCACGTCGCCATTTCACTCTCTTCTCTGTGTTCTTTTCAATGTGGCTCTACGACTCCTCATGACCTTTCATTTCTTCCTCACATGATCCCTCCATGTCACCCTCAGCTGAGACGTCCATTTCGTCATTTCTCATTTCGGTTCCACTCGGCAGCCTGGCCTGGCAAGTGATGTCCACAAATGGTCTTCTCAGTTCTTTTGCAATCTGGGAACCCTTCCTAGCCAGCTTAGACACTGTGCAGACATTCCATGTCTTTATGACTACTTTTGTCTCATTGACAGGAGAGAAGACAAATCGACCAATTGACTTCCGGCAGGATTTCACCAACCGGCATCATTTTTTCTCCCCGATTTCAGCGAAGAATCAGGTTTTTTTATATTTCCCCTAAGTTTCTTCACAGAATGGAATGATTTTCCGGGTTAGAATCGCCAGTTCAACGCCTAAGCTTTCTTCCTTATCCACGCTTAGGACCGGCTAATAACTAATGAACTAGTTAACTAGACGAGCTAAATTCATGGTTTACTTGACCTATTTGGTTAGATAAAAGTTACTATCCACATTAGATTTGTACATTTGATTTATAACACTCAGCGACAGAAGATTATTCACTGAAGTGACGTTTCCAGCATAAATTATCACTGCTCATCATCATATCTCAATGTAAACACATAGCACTTTCAATACCTCAATTTCATAGTCCTGTTGTCTGATATTCCTTGTCTCTATTCGTAGTAAAACCTTCCATATCTCTGATATGCATCAATGTTGCATCATTCCTATCACTTGCGTTCACTGTTGCTGATTCAATGAACAACGATTCAGTAATCAATCTCTCTCAATCTCCACCTAATTATATTGTTCAACTTGAGTACAGTGGTTTCATCCCACCCACCCGCCCTACTGTGTGATTGTGTGTTAATGCATCCATTACAATAGCCGACTGTTCTCCTAGAGTGATGAGCCTATTATTTGGGTCTGTCATTGTATATTTAGCTAGATTTCTATGTTTGCATAGTCTAACTAACTCGAATCGACTAGTTCCACCTCACAGTCATTATATGCAATCTCATAGATTAGATTATTTTGTTTAATTGGCTCAGCCAGATCATGAAGCCAACCGACAAAGTTTATCTGTGAGTGAGTTTGTAGGTTTAAATACCACCATAACTAATTCCAGCTTTGTTGAGAATCCTACCTTAAGTTTCTGATCTACCTTCCTCATGCGCTAACACAATGGAGACTGTGAACTGCCTTCTACTCGTGTTGTCCTTATTATTCCTATTCGTGTTACTCTCTGTCATTATTTCGTCTCTCATGTGTTCATATGGATTTCCTAATAAGTCGTAGAGGATAATTATTAAGTGTAAGTGCTTGTCTTATGTGTTTCAGTTTCTTGTTTAGGTCATTGCAATGACTAGTCAGTTTTCTAGCTGTCTCATTTCCATATTTGACTAAACCTGCCTTCACTAATTGTCATTGGATGGGATCGCTTGAAGTTTAGATACCTGTTAGAATGTGTCGATTTCCTGTCTGCTGACTGTAGTATCCGAACCACCATCTCTCCTTCATTTTATCCTTCAATCCAACATAGGTTATTCTCCACGTGTTCATTTTTTACCTCTTCGTAAATGAGTTGGATTGTGTCTACTCCAGAGTTAATATGTGTGATGAAATTGTCGATATGTTTCGATTTCAAGGCAGTGAATGTATCATTCACATATCACCACGATATTTTCAGTAGAAGATTAAACGTCTGTAAAGGCATGTCTTCCCAATTATCCATAAATATATCTGCTACGATTGGGTATATTGGCGATCCGATTGGTACTTCTTCTCTCTGTCTGCATATTTTGTCCTGTAACTTTAAGAGTGTGGAGGTCAGGCACAACTGTACGCCTGATATGATTTCATTACTGGTGATGTTTTAAAAAAGATGAAAGACAGTGTTCTGTAACTGATTTCAACGCTGAATATAATTACCGTAAGGATAAACACGTTCAAACAAACAATTTTACCGATAAACATTATTCTATCATAAACTCTATATGATAATTGATTGGTTATTGAAAGCTAACAAATCAATGTAGGCGATCCAGCCTCATAGGAGATGAATCGTGGCCATAATAGCTCATAGTTAACATCGCCAGCTGCAGCATTAGGTGACGCGGGTTTGAATCTCACTTAAGCGGAATATCAATTCCGTCAAGGTTGGAGACACGCCTGGCTGACGAGCCATAAGAAGCACGAAACTCAGGTCTAGAAGATTAGTTTTATTAAATTTTTATGCATATGGAAATAATTATGGGAAAGCTTAAATGTGTTTGGCTGGTGTCACTGGATAACATGTTATAGCCTGTAAATTTCCGTCGTTGATTGGACTAAATCGATTGGCCACTGTTGGCATAAGAACTCCTGTCCAGATGCCTGGGTGTTGTTGGTATTCTCAGTTTTGATATAATTGGCTAGCAGTGGAACCTGGAATGAGGATTTCATCAAGTTTGGGACTCATAATCCGTCGTGATTCACTGACCCAAGTGGATAATGCTGTGGAGTTTGAAGCGAATAATCCTTGGCCTGAATCTTGGTGAAAACAATGTCACTCACTAGAAGGCCGGTACATCTGGTTGATGAGTCCTGAATAGGACGAAATCTGCATTCTAGATTCCACTGCCAGCTACTATCCATGATTAATACCACATTTTATTGTGGTCCTGTTTACATTATAATGTTCAAAACTGTTACGGGGCATTTAAAGTGGGTAATTGGTAATAAATACTCTAAAGGATATTGTTATTTAGCTAAATATTTAGGTATACAGTCACAAGGGTGATTAGATCAAATGCTGTTGAATTACCATTTAGGAATTGGAGAGTTGCTTCAATACGAACAGGATAGTTACTAACGAAGACTCATTTTGGATGTTGAAGGCCCATTTGGCATTTCCTAGCTTGCGTCATCTATGATCCTGGCAAGATATCCGATTACCTATCAGAGGATGAGTATACTGCGCCACTACAGTCTGTTGTGTTCTGTTACACTGCTCAGACATAGCCGTTAAACGTAGAAGTCATGAAGCGAATACTTAGTTTCAGTCACGTTTTCTGGAATCACTGTGTGAGAAATGTTGAGGTCAAATGAAGAGTACTAAACAAGACAGATCAGTGGATTAGTGAGGTTGTGAAACTTAGGCGATTGAAGAGACTTGGACATGTACTGCTCATTCCAAGCCTTAACCATCTACCTCGATGTGCAGTGTTAGAAAGATGAAGTTAGATTGGATTGGAATAGAGTTCAGGGTAGCCAGATCAAGACATGATCTCAGTCAATGAATTCTCCCACTGTTGGCCTGAGGCATATAGAGGGAGATGTAGAATGGCTTGCTGGGATCCCCAAGATGAAAAGAACCACCTGTTATTTGTATACTTTTGTGAAGTGTGACAACCTGAATCGATGGACCTTTTCTTGAGGTTCTACATTGATCTTATCAGCCCTGGTCTCGCCATCCTGAACCCTCTTCCAACCTAGTGCAACTTCCTACAGCATTGCACATCGAGGTAAGTGCTAGATTGGCATGCACAGTACACATCTAAGTCACTTCAGTCGAGCTGTTGGTTTCGCGTAGTATACTTATAATCTTTTAAATTGGATGTTTCAAATTGATACTACTAATCATTTAGTGGTTAATTGTTACTCACTTTTTGCATGTTTTTATATAACATTTTCGTTTGATAACATGATGATTACTTAATTTCTTCTATTTAGATCGTGCTGCTGATCTTCAATTAATTCAACAATTGAAGGAATGCGTAGCGATTAACTACAAGTCTGCTAGACAAATTCGTCGTGAACTAGCTGAAGTTAGCGCCTCATTAGATGCAGTAAGTGTAAAAACAAATTTTTAGTGTTTATATATTTTATTATATAGTAATGATGAATAGTAGCTAGCAGTGGGATGCAGGATGTGGATTTCGTCCTCTTTATGAATCGTCAGCTGGATGTACCTGCCTCTCAATGAGTGATGTTGTTCTTACTGTTAGTCACTATCCATCATTACTATATATAGTTAAAACGCAGGTAATTTCGAGGCATCCTCACAAGACATCCATATGCCAAAAGAGACCGATCAATTCGATCCAATCAACAACGGTAATAATATGAGAGATTATACTAAAACTATACCCGTCGCATAAATAGTGGCTATCGTGGCTCGGTGGTGTAGTCGATAACGGTCTGGCGTTTGAAGCGATCGCTCCCGAGTCCCGGTGAGGACAATATCACTCACTGGGGTACAGGTAGATCCAGCTAACGAGTCCCAAGTAGGACGAAATGGGTGTCCTAGATTTCATTGCTAGTCACTATCCATCATTGCTATATATAATTAGAATACAGGTAATTTCGAGACATCCGCACAGGAATCCATACACCAATAGAGACCGATTAATTCGGTCCAATCAACAACGATAATAATACAAACAATTCTATCATGATAATAATTGTTTATTTGCCTTCTGTTGTTTAGCATTCTAAAGTATACAGTTAAGAGTAGGATATCTGAAATATTTTTCCTCCAATTGTATACACATCATGATTGTTGTTCAATGGATTACATCTACAATCATAAAGGAATTTGAATTTGGAGAGTTTATGAGGATTTAGAGATATTTCAAGTTGGTTTTCATCATGGACTGACATGAGTTAGAGGAACACTGAAAATCTGGGAGAACTGGGCAGCTGTTTCGTCCCAGTGTGGGGCTCTTCAGCTGTACGTACTCACAACCCCCGTACCCCAGGGGTCAAACCCGCGACCTTAAGGTTTCATGGGCAGTACCTCACCACTGAGCCACTGGGTTGGAATCCAGTCGTCCATATTTCCAACTTCTGTCAGTTCATGACATAACGCGACAATCCCTCAGTGTCATCATTAAATATTTATCCTCATGACCATCAAGTTTGCCCTACTAGGAAAACCAACTTAAAATATTTCTAAATCCCCACAAACCCCTAAATTCAACTGAATTAGCTTCAAGATATGATTCCTGAAGTTTCAGTCAGAAGCCGTGACCAGTGCGGCAAACCTGGTGACCATGAAGACAATTACTCAGCGATGATATTGGGCAGCAGTCACACTATATCATGAACTCACACAAGTTATAAATATGAACGACTGGATTCTGACCCAGTAGCTAGGTCAATGGTGACGTGCTGACCATGAAACCTGAAGGCTCTGAGTTTGATCTCTGATGGGGTCTTGGGTACGCTTTGGTGAAGAGTCCCATACTATAACGAAACAGCTATGCAGTTCTCTCAAGTTTCCAATGTTCCTCCTACTGATATCAATGCATGGTGATGAAAATTATTTACCAGAGAGTTCGTCTGCAATAACTGCAGACCTTTTCATTTCAGTAAAAAATAAAGTTATTCATCAGTGAAGCAGAAAGTTACTTTTGAATATACAGAAAGCCAGTTATGATCCAAACAACTCAGTTGTAACATCTTTTGACTATAGCACTGAATGATTAGGGTTTCTAATCACTTAAGGGACTTCAGTTTCCCTTGAAGTTGAGGATACATCTTGTTGATAAGCGTTATTAGGTGCGGAACTTGGACTTGGCTACGCTCCTTATCGATTTATTCGAAATAACTAGAGGGAAACTACTTATTATCGTTAGGATTCCATATACAATAAAACAAATCAGATCTGAATATATGGTCCATTCCTTTTTCATAGCTATCGCTACTAAGGAAAACTGTTACTAAAGGGAGAGGATGTCATTTTTAACTTCATTTAGTCTTGTCTAAACGTTCCTGTTGCTAGTAATTTAGTTGGTTGTGGCTAGCAGAGGAATCCAAGACGCGTGTTTCGTCCTACTTGGGACTCATCAGTTGAATATACCTGCACCCCCAGTGAAGTGTGATGTTGTTCCCACTGGGACTCGAACTTCGTACGCATCGCTTAAAACACCGAGGCATTATCTACTATGCTACAGAGTCACTACAGGCATTTCTTGCATAATGGGTAGTAGTTATTACCAATTATTGATATACCTGTGATTCTCCGTTGTTTTATTGGATCGAATTGTTCGACCTCTGTTGACATATGGGCTCCTATGCGATTGCCTCGATATTGTCTGAATGTTAATTATAGTAATTTAGTTCGTTGTGGCTAGCAGTGGAATATTCAGGACGCGTGTCTCATCCTACTTGGGGCTCCTCAGCTGGATGTAACTGCACCTCAGTGAGTGATGTTGTTCTTAGCGAAACTTGAACCTCTTACCCATTACACTGAACTTCAAGGCGTTATCAAGTATACTACTATGTGCTACATGCATCCTGGATTCCTCTGCTAGCCACAACCAACTAAATTACCATAATTAACATTCCAGAAATACCAAGGCATCCGCATAGGAGCCCATTTGCCAATAGAGGTTGAACAATTCTATCCAGTAAAACAACGGAGAATAACAAGTATATTAATCAGTAGTAATGGTTTCTGTTACTGGTTCATTCAAAGCCAATGAACTAAGTCAGTGCATATAAAAATAAAATTTATAGGTAGATTTATGTCGTTGGGAAGTATTCATTGAAGATAGAATAGAACAGGAACGTTTACAGTCCATGTAGCAACAGTTTATCCTGACTGTAGATGTTTTATACTTTTAATTCTTACCTTATATAGTATTTAATTAAAAATACAGATCATGAGATAATGTAGTATACGATGAATTCACCTAGAGAATGTTGTTTACAAAGTATTTTCCCTTATTATTATGTATTATGTATTGTTGACTATTCGATTAATATTTTCATTTTAGTCAGAAGAAGAAGTTTGCCGTTTAGCACGTCAAAGTGGTCAACTAATGGCATCTTGTGCTCCTCATAGACGTCAAACAGGTCAACTTGTGGCTGAGAAGGCTACACTTGAAGCACAATTGTGTGTAAAAGAAAGAGCATTGGCCAGCTTACTTGGAGAAATGTCATCTGATGAAGTTGCTCAAATTCAGGGTTCTGGGACATCAGTAAGTGAGATGCGATTTAGTAGTAGGCTATGTATACATATATATACGCTGATTGAACCTCGTCTGGTTAACTAGTTCACTAGTTACTACCCGGTGCTAAGTCCGGATAAAGAGACAAGGTTGGGCATAGGGCTAGCAATCCTACCCAGTAAAACCAATCTAACCCCTAAAAAAGCTTCAAAGCACAAACAAAATATAAAAAATGAAAAAAAACTTATTCCTCGCTGGAATGGAAGAGGCGAAATGACGCCGGTTGGTTAAAGCCTGCCTTTGAGAAGCCAATTGGCCAATGTGTCTTCTCTCGATGAAAGCGAAAGTAAACGTGGGGACATGGAATGTCCGTACGATGTTTGAACCCAGTAAGGCAGCCCAGATTGCAAAAGAGATGAGAAGGTATCACATGAAGTGCTTGGAATTTGCGAAAGCAGATGGAATGGGAGTGGACTCTCCAAACTGTCAACTGGAGAATCAATAATCTACTCTGATATTGTCACCCAGATGACAACCACGAGCACACCGAGTTCTGGAGTGGCTATCATGGTGTCCCCGAGAGCATCGAAGGCTGTCATGCAGTGGGAACCAATCTCCTCAACAATCAGGATCATGACAGCAAGGTTCAACTCAAAAGGAAGGAAGGTCACAATCATACAGTGCTATGCACCTACAAATAATGCAGAGTAAGAGAAGGAGGAGGAATTCTGCAGACAACTTCAATCAACACTGGACAAGACTACAGTTGGCGACATCAAAATTCTAATGGGTGGGTGACGTGAATGTCAAACTGAGAGGGGACAACACAGGAAGAGAACTAACCATGGGTCGAGAAGCGCTCGGTGAAATGAACGAGAATGGAGCCAGCGGAGACGGGACATCCTTCAGGTGAACGTAGAGAAGATAGAGGTGATAAAGATACCCAATCAACGCCACTAACAGCACCAACAAGCTCCAATCACCATCAACGGGAGGAACTTAAAGGAAGTAGCCTCTTTCATCTATCAACTACTGGTGGCACAGGCACAGAGGAGGATATCAAAGCCAGCCAGGATCAGAAAGGTAGCAAGACAGGTCTTCCTGAATCAGTCTGAAACCAGTGTGGAGATCTGCTTCACTGCACTCAGTATAAAGTGTGAACACCATCCAGATTTTCAACACTCATGTCAGTCAAGTAAGTCAGTGGTTCTATGCGATAGTTGAGAGACTTGACGGTGCGTTTCAAATAGCATTTCCAACAAACTGCAGACATCCGTTAACAGCTGTTGCCTACACTGGCTCCTTACTGAAGATCAGATGGATGGCGAGAATTATACGAATAAGCAAGTATGAACTCTCACTGACAAGCAACCAAGCAACGAAGAAGCTGTCACCCAACAAATGTTGAGATGTATTGGGCATACACTGAGAAGGCCCACTGGTGACATCATGTGCCAGGAACTCGAGTGGAACGCAGATGGGAAACGACGAGTCGGGCGTTCGAGGTGAAAATGACATGGAGGAGATGGTGTGAGGAAAAAACGAGAAGTTGTGGACAGGCGTGGAGCCAGGTTGAAAAGATTGCAGAGAAGGTAGTGGAATGGAGACGTGTTACTGAAGCCTTATGTTCCACTAGGAACCCAAGGGACAAATAATAGAATAATAACGCGCCAACTGAAGAACCATTAGAAGCTTGGGACAAATGGACGACTGCTTCGTCTTAGTATGGGACTCCACAGGAGTGCTCACCCACGACGCGGTTAGTGATCGAATTTAGGACCTTCAGGTTTCAGGGTGAACACATCAACTGTTCGGTTACTGGGTTATAGTTCTGTGGTCTATAGTTTCCTACTTCTGTCCGTTTGATACACAGAGTGACTATTTGCCAAGGTCTTCAGTTGGTATCTGTTTCATTTTCAGCTGGGATCAGACCTTATTAGAACTTTGAAATGTCCATCTCGAAGGATGTCAATCAAGTAGTTTGAAGTTAATGGGGACTGTTCACTTCCGGGACGTATTCGTCACTTCAGTGTTTCTCAAACTGACGTCATTTGATATAATGGATTATGAGTTTTATATTTTCTCTCTCTCTCTCTCTCTCTCTCTCTCTCTCTCATATATATATATATATATATATATATATATATATATATATATATATATATATATATATATATATAGTGTTTGTTGTTCTCTCACATATAAACTGGCGAAATGGTTGTGGAAAATGTTAAATCCATTTCGTAATGAGCTCTGTAGGTTTTCATTGAAAGATATTTTTTAACTTGTTGACTGTTATAGTTAGATATGTATCAAAAGGAAGACTAGGTACTTTTCTGATGTTAACTCTTTATTCTATAATGCGCCCTTGTTCAAGATAGTTAACCTCCTCTGTGTTTATGCATCCTCTAACGACCGGTCATTCCGTGTTGCTTCAAGTTCACTGAAGGAAGTAATATTCCATATTCGATTTGTCTATATGATTTGCAATACACAGCAATACAGTATTATTTACTTGAGGATGTTTCAAGCATAAATTATCATTGCTGATAATCTATATCAACGTAATCACACTATTTTCGACACCTGATTTTTATAGTCATGTCACCTGATATTGTTTGTTTTCAGTGGTAGTAAAATTTTCCTGATATTCGGTATAGATGTTGTGTCATTCTTATTACATATGTTAGGTGTTGATTGAATAAATAGTTGGGAAAACATGCCTTTACAGACGTTTAATCCTCTACTGAAAATATCGTGGTGATATGTGAATGATACATTCACTGCCTTGAAATCGAAACATATCGACAATTTCATCACACATATTAACTCTGGAGTAGACACAATCCAACTCATTTACGAAGAGGTAAAAAATGAACACGTGGAGAATAACCTATGTTGGATTGAAGGATAAAATGAAGGAGAGATGGTGGTTCGGATACTACAGTCAGCAGACAGGAAATCGACACATTCTAACAGGTATCTAAACTTCAAGCGATCCCATCCAATGACAATTAGTGAAGGCAGGTTTAGTCAAATATGGAAATGAGACAGCTAGAAAACTGACTAGTCATTGCAATGACCTAAACAAGAAACTGAAACACATAAGACAAGCACTTACACTTAATAATTATCCTCTACGACTTATTAGGAAATCCATATGAACACATGAGAGACGAAATAATGACAGAGAGTAACACGAATAGGAATAATAAGGACAACACGAGTAGAAGGCAGTTCACAGTCTCCATTGTGTTAGCGCATGAGGAAGGTAGATCAGAAACTTAAGGTAGGATTCTCAACAAAGCTGGAATTAGTTATGGTGGTATTTAAACCTACAAACTCACTCACAGATAAACTTTGTTGGTTGGCTTCATGATCTGGCTGAGCCAATTAAGCAAAATAATCTAATCTATGAGATTGCATATAATGACTGTGAGGTGGAACTAGTCGATGCGAGTTAGTTAGACTATGGGAACATAGAAATCTAGCTAAATATACAATGACAGACCCAAATAATAGGATCATCACTCTAGGAGAACAGTCGGCTATTGTAATGGATGCATTAACACACAATCACACAGTAGGGCGGGTGGGTGGGATGAAACCACTGTACTCAAGTTGAACAGTAATAATTAGGTGGAGATTTAGAGAGATTGATTACTGAATCGTTGTTCATTGAATCAGCAACAGTGAACACAAGCGATAGGAATGATGCAACATTGATGCATATCAGAGATATGGAAGGTTTTACTACGAATAGAGATAAGGAATGTCAGACAACAGGACTATGAAATTGAGGTGTTGAAAGTGCTGTGTGATTCCATTGAGATATGATGATGAGCAATGATAATTTATGCTCGAAACGTGGTCATGAGTTTTATAATACTCTATCACACTGTTTGCTCGCTATATCAAATAAATAAATCTAATTTTAAATCAAATTTTAACACAGTGCTGAAGTTTTACACTTACATTATTATTTTTCCGTTGGGTTCCTAGTGGAATATAGGGATTCAGTTGCACGCCTCCATTGCACTCTGTTCTCTGCAATCTTTTCAACCTGGCTCCAAGACTGCCTACAATCTTTTGTTTCTTCCTCACATGATCTCCTCCATGTCACCCTCCCCTCGAAAGCCCAACTTGTCGTTTCCTCTTTGGATTCCACTCAAGTGTTTTGTCTGGCCTGATGTGTTATGTTTCTAAATGGTCTTCTTATCTCCACTTACTTCTGCATGTTCGTTGAGTGATAGCCACTTGGTTGGTTCGTTGACAGCCAGAGTTCCTTTTTGCTCATTCTTATTATTCTAATCATCTGGTCTTCAGTATCAAGTGAGCGTAGGCGGCATTTGTTGATAAATGTCCGTAGTTTGTTGGAAGGGCTTTTCGTGACATGCCAAGTTTTTGAACCATGTAGCACCTGTGACTTGACATTGGTGTTGAAAATCCGGATGTTGTTCACGCTTTATGCTAAGTGCTGTAGATCTCCATACTGATTATTTCATATTAATGCAGGAAGGCTCGTTTTGCTTTTCCGATCCTGGTTTTTATATCCTCGTCTGTTCCGCCAATAGTTGGAACGATGCTGCCTTGCCTAGGTAGGTGAAAGAGACAACTTCCTTTAGATTTCTCCCGTTCATGGTGATTGGTGCTTGTTGTTGTTGTCGTTGGTTGGGTAATTTAATCACCTCCCTCTTCTCTACGTTCACACAAAGGAAGTTCCGTCTTCTCTGCCTCTTCTGCCAACTTATTAGTTTTCGCCTGTAAATCCTCGACTTTGTACGACAAGACATTAGACATAAATCATCATCGCTGGCGAAATCGAGATCTACCAGTGGGGGTCTTTTCATCTGTCCAGCCAGCTCATGTCGTTCTTGTCGCTATTCACGGTTCGTTGCATGATGCAATCCACCACAATCAGGAAGATCATGGGTGATAGTAGGCAGCCTTGTCTTACTCCTGCCTCCACTTCAAAGGCATCACGAAGCTTTCCATTGTGAATCACTTGGCATGTGGCGTCTTCATATAGT